CTCACTCCCACACTCACTCACACTCCCACACTCACTCACTCCCACACTCACTCACACACTCACACACTCCCACACTCACTCACTCACTCACATACTCACATACTCACACACTCACACACTCACTCACACACACTCACTCACTCACTCGCACAATCACTCACTCACACACTCACACTCACTCCCACACACACTCACACACACTCACTCCCACACTCCCACGCACACTCGCACACACACTCGCACACACACTCCCACGCACACTCGCACACACACTCGCACACACACTCGCACACACACTCGCACACACACTCGCACACACACTCGCACACACACTCGCACACACACTCGCACACACACTCGCACACACACTCGCACACACACTCGCACACACACTCGCACACACACTCGCACACACACTCACACCCACTCACACCCACTCACACCCACTCACACCCACTCACACACACTCACACACTCACACACCCACACACACTCACACCCACACACACTCACACCCACACACACTCACACCCACACTCACACACACACACTCCCACACACACTCACACACACACACTCCCACACACACTCGCACACTCACACACTCACACACTCCCACTCACACACTCCCACTCACACACTCCCACTCACACTCCCACACACACACTCCCACTCACATACTCCCACACACACACTCCCACACACACACACACACTCACACACTCACACACACTCACACACTCACACACACTCACACACTCACACACACTCACACACTCACACACACTCACACACTCACACACACACACTCCCACACAACAACAACAACCGCCATTCGCCACTAAGTGGCGGTGACGTCACCACGACGCTTGTGCCAGGCTATGTGCACCTCGAGGCCACGTGAAGTGTCGAACGCCCACTGGCAGGAGGTCACGGGGCAGACCCAGGTGCCACGGGTCGACTGACTGAGATGACTGGCTGATGCACCACCTGTGCCCCCTACTGTGCCAACCCGCTGTGTTTTAGCCACCCGGCGCTCCGCTCGTTGTTGTGAGCGTCGATCCTCCGCCCTCCGTTGTTGTTGGAGGGCGACTGCCTCCAACTGCCCAGTAGCATCCTTCACGAGCCTCCTCCACAGAGGCCGATCTTGACACCGCTGGTACCAGTCATCGGCAAGTCCACTCAGCTCCACGTCCTCCTGTACCACATCACTCCATCTCTTCTCTAGCCCGTGCCGCGCCCGCTTAGCCCCCTCAATCCGGCCAAACAAAAGCTGTTTCGGCATGCGGTGGCTGGGCATGCGGGCTACATGACCCAGCCATCGCAGCCTTGCCTGCCGGAGGAGCTCACCGATGGGACCCTGCCCAGATCTTTCAAGGATTTGTGAGCTCCTCACACAATCCAGTCTGGTTAAACCCAGGATGGATCGTAGGCAGGCCAGCCTAAGTGTTTCTAACCGGCTGAAGATGTTCCATTAGGGGGTCCACGTTTTCGCAAGCGTAGAGAAGGGAGGGAATGACCGTGGCCGAGAAGACCTGAAGCTTAGTGCGGAGCGACAGACCAGGTAGCTTCCACACAGCGTTACGCAACCGATGAAAAGATATTGCCGCTCGACTGATTCGGAGTGAGACCTCTGCTGTTAAACTGGAGCCAGTCATAAGCACACTGCCCAGGTATGGGGAAACTCTCCACTCTCTCCACAACTGCCCCATCACTGATTGGGAGTTGTGGGAGGCTGGAGTGTCCGATGGTACAAAATACCCAGGCAGGTGCTTAGTTTTGGTGGGGCTGATGGTAAGGCCCCACCTCTTAGTGGCACGCTCCAGTCTCAGCAGCAGCGTCTCCAACTCCTCCTCTGACTGAGCAGCTATTACCAAATCATCAGCATACATAACGTGATTGAGCAATAGGGAGCCATCCCTTGACCGCACCCGGGCATCGATTAGCCTCCCATTATATCTATACCATATGGAGATTCCCCCGGTACAGCTATTGAAGGCTTCACGAACTACGTGGTCAAAATAGATGTTAAATAATGTGAGAGCCAGAGGACATCCCTGTCGCACCCCAAGGTGTACAGGGAATGGCTCTGACTCCCGGCCACGTAGTTTTACCCGGGCCCGCTCACCATCATGAAGGTCCTTAATGATCGTGAGCAGAGGGTCATGTACTCCAAAAGCATGAAGAACGACCCAGAGCCCAGGCCTACTGATGGTATCATAGGCCTTGACCAGGTCAATAAAGCAGAGATGTAGGTCTTGTTGGAATTCCCTACACCTCTGTTGTAGCAGACGGACAGAAAATATGGCATCTGTGCAGGACCGCCCTTTCCTGAAACCGCATTGGGGCTCCGCAAGCCTCTCCTCAGCGTGCCTGGCAAGGCGATGCTGAATAATCCTTGCCAGGACCTTTCCCGGCACACTGAGGAGTGAGATGCCCCTGTAGTTGTTACAGTCTGTGCGGTCCCCCTTCTTAAAAAGGGGGACCACCAGGGCATCCTTCCAATCCTGCGGAACCCGTCCAGTGGTCCAGACTGTTGTTATGATGTCATATAGGGCAGTCTGTGCACAAACGCCACCCTCCCTCAGCATTTCGCTTGGGAGATCATCTCTGCCCGCTGCCTTTCCTGGTCTCAGACTCCTGATCGCCTTCAATACTTCCTCAGCAGATGGCACCTCAGCCAGCCACTCACAGGGGGTGACTTCTTCCAATATTTGAGGCACCGCAGCCTCAGCAGGGTCATCCTCACTTTGTGCCACGATGTTTTCCTGGCTGAGGGATTTTCCCTCCCCCAGGACCTCACAGAAATGCTCAGCAAATCTGCGAACCTGTTCCTGGGGGTCGGAGATTGGATCACCGTTTTTTCCCCTAATGATGGTAATAGGTGTGGCGCTGCAGGTTGCTTTTTTGATGGAGTTAAATAGAGATTCGTGATCACGGGCCACTGAGGCAGACTCCATCTCCTCAGCAACCCGCGACCACCACCGATCCTTGCAGCGCCTCACGGCTCTCTGAACCTCCGAGCGAAGGCTGCGGTAAGCCTACTCATTCTCTGACCTGGGATTCTGTAGCCGATGACAGTGGGCCTGTCCCTTTTTCTCAACCATCCTGAACACCTCCTCTGTCAGCCAGGGTATCTGGGGTGGTCTGGACCGCGTACCCAAAGCAGCCATTGCAGCTGCATGAGTGACAGTCCTGAACCTCGCCCATTTACCCTCGACATCAGGAGGAGTGGAGGACGATGCCAATCCCAGCCGCAAGCGATGATGAAATTCTCGCTTGCAGCTTTCATCAGATAACTGAGACCAGGCCACTTTATGTTGGAATGGGGTCCTGGGTGTACACCCACCACCGGAGTGGAAGAATGGCAGGCGCATCTTACAGATGACTAGTCGATGGTCAGAGGGCAGATCAGCTCCACGGTAGGTCCTGGTGTCAAGGACATGGGCTCGCATTCGCTGGTCCGTCACTATGTAGTCCAGCAGATGTTCTTGCTTGGACCCGGCATGCATCCATGATGTTGTGTGGATGCGCCGATGCTGGAACAGCGTGTTGGTAATTACAAGCCCATGGGCTGCACAAAAATCTAGCAGCCTCCTACTGTTGTTATTGAGCTGATCTGGCCCATGCCCTCCAATCACTCCAGACCAGGTGCCAGTATCATGACCAACTCGGGCATTGAAGTCACCCAACATGATGACTCTATCCCGAGGGGCCACTTTAGCCAGCACCTGTGACAGGAGGTCATAGAAGGCATCTGACTCATCGGCTTTGCCTGCATCCTTCTACGGATGTTCATCTTCGGTGGGGGCATAAGTAACCACGACCACCATTCCTCGCCTCTGGTTGATGAGAAGGCGAGCCCAGAGTAGCCTGGGGCTTACAGCTTCCCACACCTCACCGCCACGCTCCCACGCCCCATTAATTATTTTGTTCAAAGAAGAGCCACACCCTGTTGTTTGGCAGTCTGCTGCCCCGAGTAGAGGACTGTCCACCCCTCATGGTGGCAGGAGCCAGAACCGGTCCACCGGACCTCCTGAATGCCAGCATAGATCCAGGCGGTACCGGTCCAGCTTCCCGACAGAGGAGTGGCAGCCTCTCCTCCTGCAGTGAGCTGTTCGAACATTCCACGTGGCCACCTGTAGTGGCTTTTCGTTGTTTCTGGAGTAGCCCCGAGGGTAGAGTATTCAATATCCCTGGCTTCCGCCAATTGGGGTTTGGCCAGGAGACGTCATAGACGCCTGGCCCCCCCGGGGCCTCCGGCACAAGCTTATTAGTTACATATTTCAGTTTAATTCGTGGTTTCGTGGTAATTAATTGAAGGTGGAGGGGTTACCAGCCCCTCGCACCCGTCCAGAGCCCCCGTTTAGCCCCTGTGGTGGACACATATGCCATGAAGGGAGGAGCCAATCAAAATTGGATCTCCCCCCACAGCACTGTCCACGACAGAGTTGCCCGTCCGGCACCGCGAGGAGGTAGGGGGTTGTTTTGCCGGACACTCACTCCACACACACACACACTCCCACACACACACTCCCACACTCCCACACTCCCACACACTCCCACACTCACTCCCACACTCACTCCTACACTCACTCACACACTCCCACACTCACACCCACACACACACTCACACCCACACACACACTCACACACACACACTCACACACACACACTCCCACACACACACTCCCACACACACTCCCACACACACTCCCACACACACTCACACACTCACACTCACACACCCACACACACTCACACACACACTCCGACACACACACACTCCGACACACACACACTCACTCACACACTCCCACACACTCACACTCACACACACACACTCACACACACACACTCCCACACACACACTCCCACACACACACACTCCCACACACACACACTCCCACACACACACACTCCCACACACACACACTCCCACACACACTCCCACACACACACTCACACTCCCACCGGCCCCCTCTCGCCCTCACTCTCAGGAGTTCCTGTCCCTGTACCCGCCTGGCTCCGTTGGGCTGGCTCCGGACCGAGCCATCCCCCGGGGCCTGCCCTCCGTGGCGTGGAACCCCTGGGTGGATGTGCGCAGACGTCACGACGTGGCACGTCTCAACGTCTCCTTCCCCTACGGGGCCCTGCCTCTGCCCTTTCAGGTAAAGTGGCTGGCTGGGTGGCTGGGTGGGTGGGCGGGTGGATGAGTGGCTGGGTGAGTAGGTGGGTGGGTGGGTGAGGTGCTGGGTTGGTGAGTGGCTGGGTGAGGTGCCGGGTGGGTGAGGTGCCGGGTGGCTGAGGTGCCGGGTGGCTGAGGTGCCGGGTGGCTGAGGTGCCGGGTGGCTGAGGTGCCGGGTGGCTGAGGTGCCGGGTGGCTGAGGTGCCGGGTGGCTGAGGTGCCGGGTGAGGTGCCGGGTGGGTGGGTGGGTGTGTGGGTGTGTGGGTTGGTTGGTGGGTGGGTCGGTGGATTGGTGAGTGGGTTGGTGGGTGTGTAGGTGGGCGGGCGGGTAGGTGGGTGATTGGCTGGCTGGGTGAGTGGGTTGGTGAGTGTGTAGGTGGGTGGGTGGGCGGGTGGATGAGTGGCTGGGTGAGTAGGTGAGTGGCTGGGTGGGTGAGGTGCTGGCTGGGTGAGGTGCTGGCTGGGTGAGTGGGTTGGTGAGTGGGTGGGTGGGTGGGCAGGTGGATGAGTGGCTGGGTGAGTAGGTGAGTGGCTGGGTGGGTGAGGTGCTGGCTGGGTGAGGTGCTGGCTGGGTGAGTGGGTTGGTGAGTGGGTGGGTGGGTGGGCGGGTGGATGAGTGGCTGGGTGAGTAGGTGAGTGGCTGGCTGGCTGGCTGGGTGAGTGGCTGGCTGGGTGAGGTGCTGGGTGAGGTGCTGGGTGAGGTGCTGGGTGAGGTGCTGGGTGAGGTGCTGGGTGAGGTGCTGGGTGAGGTGCTGGGTGAGGTGCTGGGTGGATGAGTGGCTGGGTGGATGAGTGGCTGGGTGGATGAGTGGCTGGGTGAGTAGGTGAGTAGCTGGCTGGGTGAGTAGGTGAGTAGCTGGCTGGGTGAGTAGGTGAGTGGCTGGGTGGGTGGGTGAGGTGCTGTGTGGGGTGGCTGCTGTGTGGGTAGCTAGCTGGGTAGCTGGCTGTGTCCAGGTGGAGGTGCGCAGGAGCTACCTGGCGGCCGTCTCCTACGTGGACCGTGAGGTTGGGCTGCTGCTGTCGGCCCTCGACTCCCTTGGCCTCGCGGACAGCACCGCCATCGCCTTCACCTCCGACCACGGTGCCCGCTCGCTCGCTCGCTCACTCACCCATCCACTCGCCCATCCACTCACTCACCCATCCACTCACTCACCCATCCACTCGCCCATCCACTCACTCACCCATCCACTCACTCGCCCATCCACTCACTCACCCATCCACTCACTCACCCATCCACTCACTCGCCCATCCACTCGCCCATCCACTCACTCACCCATCCACTCGCTAGCCCATCCACTCACTCGCCCATCCACTCACTCGCTCACTCGCCCATCCACTCACTTGCCCATCCACTCACTCGCCCATCCGCTCACTCGCCCATCCGCTCACTCGCCCATCCACTCGCCCGCTCACTCGCCCATCCACTCACTCGCTCAATCGCCCATCCGCTCACTCGCCCATCCGCTCACTCGCCCATCCACTCGCCCGCTCACTCGCCCATCCGCTCACTCGCCCATCCGCTCGCTCGCCCATCCACCTTACCACTCTATCACCCTCCGACTACCACCCTGTCCCTCTAGCACTCTACCCCCCACCACCCACCGACTCTCCCCCCGTGCCCCCCGCGCCCCCAGGCTGGTCTCTAGGGGAGCACGGGGAGTGGGCCAAGTTCAGCCTCTTCGAGGTGGCCACGCGCGTACCGCTGCTCATCTCTGTGCCGGGCCTCACCGCTGGGGGGGCCGGCGGCGGGGGGGGCGGGCGGGGGGGGGCCCCCCCCGGCCCTCGCTTCCCCTTCGTGGACGTCCTGCGGAGCCCTGCGGGGAAGCCTCCTGCACCAGGTGAGTCCTCATCCTCCTCATCCTCCTCCTCATCCTCCTCCTCCTCCTACTCCTCCTCCTACTCCACGTCCTCCTCATCCTCCTCCTCCTGCACCAGGTGAGTCCTCCTCCTCATCCTCCTCCTCATCCTCCTCCTACTCCTACTCCTCCTCCTACTCCACGTCCTCCTCATCCTCCTCCTCCTGCACCAGGTGAGTCCTCCTCCTCATCCTCCTCCTCCTCCTCCTCATCCTCATCCTCTTCCCACTCCACGTCCTCCTACTCCACCTCATCCTCCTCCTCGTCCTCCTCCTCCACCTCGTCCTCCTCCTCCACCTCGTCCTCCTCGTCCTCCTCGTCCTCGTCCTCGTCCTCCTCCTCCACGTCGTCGTCCTCGTCCTCCTCCACCTCCTCCTCCACCTCCCCCCCCCCTCCTCGTCCTCGTCGTCGTCGTCCTCCTCGTCCTCCTCGTCCTCCTCCTCCTCCTCCTCGTCGTCCTCCTCCTCCACCTCCTCCACGTCCTCTTGCTCCTCCACGTCCTCCTCGTCCTCCTCCTCGTCCTCGCTTGCATCTTCATCGTCCGTGTGGTGGTGTGTGGGGGGGTTCCAGTGGTTCGAAGCCCACGGTGCAACCTGAAGCTGATGATGATGATGCTGATGATGATGCTGATGATGCTATCAACGATGATGATGATGATGATGATGCTATCGGCGCTGCTGATGATGATGCTATCAACGATGATGATGATGATGATGCTATCGGCGCTGCTGATGATGATGCTATCAACGATGATGATGATGATTATGATGCTATCAATGATGCTGATGATGCTGGCAATGCTGATGATGCTATCAACGATGATGATGATGCTATCAACGATGATGATGATGATGCTATCAACGATGATGATGATGCTATCAACGATGATGATGATGATGCTATCAACGATGATGATGATGATGATGCTATCAACGATGATGATGATGCTGGCGCTGCTGCTGATGATGATGATGCTATCAACGATGATGATGATGATGCTATCAACGATGATGATGATGCTATCAACGATGATGATACTGGCGCTGCTGATGCTGATGATGATGCTATCAACGACGATGATGATGCTATCAATGATGCTGATGATGATGCTATCAACGACGACGATGATGATGATGATGCTATCAATGATGCTGATGATGATGCTATCAACGACGACGATGATGATGATGATGCTATCAATGATGCTGATGATGATGCTATCAACGACGACGATGCTGATGCTGGCGCTGCTGCTGCTGCTGCTGATGCCACTTATGATGATGATGCTGCTGCTGCTGCAGCAGCTACCGGTTAGATGATGCTATTGGTGCCACCGATGTTCATGCTGCTGATGATGCTGATGATGATGCTATCGACGATGATGATGTTATCGACGATGATGATGCTATCAACGATGATTATGATGATGCTATCGGCGCTGCTGATGATGATGATGCTATCAGCGCTGCTGCTGATGATGCTATCAACGACGATGATGATGATGATTATGATGCTATCAATGATGCTGATGATGCTGGCGATGCTGATGATGCTATCAACGACGATGATGATGCTATCAACGATGATGATGATGATGCTATCAACGACGATGATGATGATGCTGGCGCTGCTGCTGCTGCTGCTGATGATGCTGGCGCTGCTGATGTTGATGCTATCAACGACGATGATGCTATCAATGATGCTGATGATGATGCTATCAACGACGACGATGCTGATGCTGGCGCTGCTGCTGCTGCTGCTGATGCCACTTATGATGATGCTGCTGCCGCAGCAGCTACCGGTTAGATGACGCTATTGGTGCCACCGATGTTCATGCTGCCGATGTTGCCGCCGGTGCTGCTGGCGCCGAGGGCAGGGCGCGTGTGTGCCGACCCGGTGGAGCTGGTGGACGTGTTCCCCACGCTGGTGGAGCTGCTGCTGCTGCCGCCGTTGCCGGCGTGCCCGGCGCCGTCGTTCGGCGTGGAGCTGTGCACGGAGGGGCGAAGTCGCGCGGCCTTCATCCTCCTCAACACCTCGGACACCACGCCGGTGCGGGTGGGTGGGGGTGGGTGGGTGTGGGTGTGTGGGTGTGTGTGTGTGTGGGTGGGTGTGGGTGTGTGTGGGTGTGGGTGGGTGTGTGTGTGTGGGTGGGTGTGTGGGTGGGTGTGGGTGGATGTGTGGGTGGATGTGTGGGTGGGTGGATGTGGGTGTGTGTGTGGGTGGGTGTGTGTGTGTGTGTGTGTGGGTGTGTGTGTGGGTGTGGGTGGGTTTGGGGGTGTGTGTGTGTGGGTGGATGTGTGGGTGTGTGTGTGGATGTGTGTGTGGATGTGTATGTGGGTGGGGGTGTGGGTGGGTGGATGTGTGGATGTGTGTGTGGGTGTGTGTGGGTGGGGGTGTGGGGGTGTGTGGGTGGGGGTGTGTGTGGGTGGGTGTGTGTGGGCGTGTGGATGTGTGTGGGTGGGGGTATGTGTGGGTGTGTGTGGGTGGGGGTATGTGTGGGTGTGTGTGGGTGGGGGTATGTGTGGGTGTGTGTGGGCGTGTGGATGTGTGTGGGTGGGGGTATGTGTGGGTGTGTGTGGGTGGGGGTATGTGTGGGTGTGTGTGGGCGTGTGGATGTGTGTGGGTGGGTGTGTGTGGGCGTGTGGATGTGTGTGGGTGGGTGGATGTGGGTGGGTGGATGTGTGTGGGTGTGGGTGGATGTGTGTGGGTGGGTGGATGTGTGTGAGTGTGTGTGTCACTATGTGTGTGTGTGTGTGTGTAGCGGTCAGCGCTACGCTGCGCTATGAACCTGGCGACCCAGGTTCGATTCCCCCCTCGCGGCCAACACCACCGGCCACTATTATCTGAACCGGTCCCGGGCCTCCCCTAGGTCGACTCGGCCTCAAATGAGTACCTGGTGTAGCGGTGTGCAGTAAACATCGCCACTGGGGAGACAAAGGCGGCCGGGCGTGGTGCTGGCCACCCACCCCCTCGTGTACCCATCCGGCCTTCACAGGTGCTGCTCGCTAACAGCACTTGCCCCTACAGCCCATTAACGCTACACGGGGGAGCTTTATCTTTGCGGTGTGTGTGTGTGTGTGTGTCAACCTTTCCTACCCACCCACCCCCAGGATGACGACGACGAGGATGACGACGAGGATGATGATGAGGATGATGATGAGGATGATGAGGAGGTCGCCTACAGCCAGTACCCCCGCCCGGGCCTGCACCCGGGCCCCAACTCGGACCTCCCCTCTCTGGCGGACATCCGTGTGATGGGCTACTCGGCACGCACCCGCCGCTACCGCTACTCCGCCTGGGTGCCCTTCGACCCCCGCTCCTTCAGGGCGGACTTCTCGAGGCCCCTCGCTCGCGAGTTCTACCTGCTGGGCCGCGACCCCGGGGAAGACCACAACCGCGCGGGCCCGGCCGGCTACGGCGGTGCCGGTGGGCCGCCGTCGCCGTCGCCGGGAGAGGAGGTGGACGAGGTGGACGAGGTGGAGCAGGAGGAGGTGGAGGAGGAGGTGAAGCACGCGGGAGCCATGAAGAGGTTGGCCGCCAGAGTCGCCCGCAAGTTTGGCGCTGTTAATTGAGGGGCCGAGGAAGCTAACGGTGACGGTGACGATGACGGTGACTGTGACGGTGACTGTGGTGACGGTGACGGTGACTGTGGTGGTGGTGACGGTGACTGTGGTGGTGGTGACGGTGACTGTGGTGGTGGTGACGGCGACTGTGGTGGTGGTGACGGTGACTGTGGTGGTGGTGACGGCGACTGTGGTGGTGGTAACGGCGACTGTGGTGGTGGTAACGGCGACTGTGGTGTAGTGGTGACGGTGACTGTGGTGTAGCGGTGCGAGTAGTGAACGTCGCCACTGGGGGAGACAAAGGCGGCCGGGCGTGGTGGTGCTGGCCGCCCACCCCACCCCCGTGTGTGCCCACACAGTGCCGGCAGCCTTCGTAGGCGCCGCTCGCTAACAGCACTTGCCCCGTCGGCCTGTTGCAGGCTACATGGGGGCTCTTTGTCTTTGGTGGTTACGGTGGTGGTGGTGGTTACGGTGGTGGTGGTGGTGGTTACGGTGGTGGTGGTGGTGGTTACGGTGGTGGTGGTGGTTACGGTGGTGGTGGTGGTTACGGTGGTGGTGGTGGTTACGGTGGTGGTGGTGGTTACGGTGGTGGTGGTGGTGCAGCGGGTTGGCGCTACGAAACCCGGCGATCCCGGGTCAGATTCCCGCCCACGGCCGCCACCACCACCACCACCACCGTAACCACCACCACCACCGCCACCACCACCACCCAGCGGTTCTCAATGCATCTGAACCGGTCGCGATGCCCTCCCCGTGGGTCCACTCGGCCTCAAATGAGTAGCTGCTGCAGCGGTGTCTCTACTTAACGTCGCCACTGGAGAGACAAAGGCGGCCGGGCGTGGTGCTGGCCACAACCCCCCCCCGCCCCTCCTCCTCGTGTGCACGGGGGAATTTTTTGTCTCTCGGTATTTTGCACTTAACGGGTGTGTGCCGATTTTTGTTATTTATTGCCGTATCCGTGGGCGAATTAAAAGATTTGAAGGTTGACGTTGCGCCTGCGTGCCTGCGTGCGAGCGTCAGACTTGTTTCACGACACCGCGTGTAGGCAGCCTTGCTTCGTCGGAGGTGGGACCGCGGCACAATCAGCCACTACCACTAAGGGCCTGGGTTCGAGCCCTGGGTTTCTGGATTCATAATGGCCTTGTCAGAGAGACAGCCACTACCACTAAGGGCCTGGGTTCGAGCCCTGGGTGTCTGGGTTCAATAATGGCCCTGTCAGAGAGACAGCCACTACAACCTGGGTTCGAGCCCTGTGTCTGGGTTCATAATGGCCTTGTCATAGACACTGAGACACTGACACTAAGAACCTGGGTTCGAGCCCTGGGTCTGGGTTCATAATGGCCTTGTCAGAGACATCCACTAGCACTAAGAACCTGGGTTCGAGCCCTGGGTCTGGGTGTCTGGGTTCATAATGGCCTTGTCAGAGACACAGCTACTAGCACTAAGAACCTGGGTTCGAGTCCTGGGTCTGGGTTCATAATTGCCGTGTCAGAGACACTGAGACACTCGCACTAAGAACCTGGGTTCGAACCCTGGGTCTGGGTGTCTGGGTTCATAATGGCCGTGTCAGACACTGAGCCACTGACACTAAGGGCCTGGGTTCGAGCCCTGGGTTTCTGGGTTCATAATGGCCGTGTCAGAGACACTGAGCCACTGACACCAAGGGCCTGGGTTCGAGCCCTGGGTTTCTGGGTTCATAATGGCCTTGTCAGAGATACAGCTACTACCACTAAGAACCTGGGTTCGAGCCCTGGGTCTGGGTGTCTGGGTTCATAATGGCCGTGTCAGAGACACTGAGACACTCGCACTAAGAACCTGGGTTCCAGCCCTGGGTCTGGGTGTCTGGGTTCATAATGGCTTGTCAGAGACAGCTACTAGCACTAAGAACCTGGGTTCGAGGTCTGGGTTCATAATGGCCATGTCAGAGACACTGAGCCACTGACACTAAGAACCTGGGTTCGAACCCTGGGTCTGGGTGTCTGGGTTCATAATGGCCGTGTCAGAGTCACTGACACTAAGAACCTGGGTTCGAGCCCTGGGTCTGGGTTCATAATGGCCATGTCAGAGACACTGAGACACTCGCACTAAGAACCTGGATTCGAGGCCTGGGTCTGGGTTCATAATGGCCATGTCAGAGACACTGAGACACTCGCACTAAGAACCTGGGTTCGAGCCCTGGGTCTGGGTGTCTGGGTTCATAATGGCCTTGTCAGAGACACTGAGACACTCACACTAAGAACCTGGGTTCGAGCCCTGGTTCTGGATTCATAATGGCAGTGTCAGAGACAGAGACACTCGCATTAAGACCTGGGTTCGAGCCCTGGGTCAGGGTGTCTGGGTTCATAATGGCAGTGTCAGAGACACTGAGACACTGACACTAAGAACCTGGGTTCGAGCCCTGGGTCTGGGTTCATAATGGCCTTGTCAGAGATACTGAGCCACTCGCACTAAGAACCTGGATTCGAACCCTGGGTCTGGGTGTCTGGGTTCATAATGGCCTTGTCAGAGATACTGAGACACTGCCACTAAGAACCTGGGTTCGAGCCCTGGGTCTGGGTTCATAATGGCAGTGTCAAAGACACTGAGCCACTCCCAGTAAGAACCTGGGTTCAAGTCCTGGGTCTGGGTGTCTGGGTTCATAATGGCCATGTCAGAGACACTGAGATACTGACACTAAGAACCTGCGTTCGAGCCCTGGGTCTGGGTGTTTGGGTTCATAATGGCCATGTCAGAGACACTGAGACACTGACACTAAGAACCTGGGTTCGAGCCCTGGGTCTGGGTTCATAATGGCCTTGTCAGAGACACTGAGACACTCGCACTAAGAACCTGGATTCGATCCCTGGGTCTGTGTTTCTGGGTTCATAATGGCCTTGTCAGAGACACTGAGCCACTCGCACTAAGAACCTGGGTTCGAGCCCTGGTTCTGGGTGTCTGGGTTCATAATGGCCTTGTCAGAGACACTGAGCCACTCGCACTAGGAACCTGGGTTCGAGCCCTGGGTCTGGGTGTCTGGGTTCATAATGGCCGTGTCAGAGACACTGAGACACTCGCACTAAGAACCTGGGTTCCAGCCCTGGGTCTGGGTGTCTGGGTTCATAATGGCTTGTCAGAGACAGCTACTAGCACTAAGAACCTGGGTTCGAGGTCTGGGTTCATAATGGCCATGTCAGAGACACTGAGCCACTGACACTAAGAACCTGGGTTCGAACCCTGGGTCTGGGTGTCTGGGTTCATAATGGCCGTGTCAGAGACACTGAGTCACTGACACTAAGAACCTGGGTTCGAGCCCTGGGTCTGGGTTCATAATGGCCATGTCAGAGACACTGAGACACTCGCACTAAGAACCTGGATTCGAGGCCTGGGTCTGGGTTCATAATGGCCATGTCAGAGACACTGAGACACTCGCACTAAGAACCTGGGTTCGAGCCCTGGGTCTGGGTGTCTGGGTTCATAATGGCCTTGTCAGAGACACTGAGACACTCGCATTAAGACCTGGGTTCGAGCCCTGGGTCAGGGTGTCTGGGTTCATAATGGCAGTGTCAGAGACACTGAGCCACTGACACTAAGAACCTGGGTTCGAGCCCTGGGTCTGGGTTCATAATGGCCATGCCAGAGACACTGAGCCACTCGCACTAAGAACCTGGATTCGAACCCTGGGTCTGGGTGTCTGGGTTCATAATGGCCTTGTCAGAGATACTGAGACACTGCCACTAAGAACCTGGGTTCGAGCCCTGGGTCTGGGTTCATAATGGCAGTGTCAAAGACACTGAGCCACTCCCAGTAAGAACCTGGGTTCAAGTCCTGGGTCTGGGTGTCTGGGTTCATAATGGCCATGTCAGAGACACTGAGATACTGACACTAAGAACCTGCGTTCGAGCCCTGGGTCTGGGTGTTTGGGTTCATAATGGCCATGTCAGAGACACTGAGACACTGACACTAAGAACCTGGGTTCGAGCCCTGGGTCTGGGTTCATAATGGCCTTGTCAGAGACACTGAGACACTCACACTAAGAACCTGGATTCGAACCCTGGGTCTGGGTGTCTGGGTTCATAATGGCCTTGTCAGAGACACAGCTACTAGCTGCTAGTAGCTGTGTCTCTGACACTGCCATTATGAATCCAGAACCAGGGCTCGAACCCAGGTCTTAATGTGAGTGTCTCAGTGTCTCTGACATGGCCATTATGAACCCAAACACCCAGACCCAGGGCTCGAACCCAGGTTTTTAGTGCGAGTGTCTCAGTGTCTCTGACAAGGCCATTATGAACCCAGACACCCAGACCCAGGGTTCGAACCCAGGTTCTTAGTGTCAGTGTCTCAGTGTCTCTGACAAGGCCATTATGAACCCAAACACCCAGACCCAGGGCTCGAACCCAGGTTCTTAGTGCGAGTGTCTCAGTGTCTCTGACATGGCCATTATGAACCCAGACCCAGGGCTCGAATCCAGGTTCTTAGTGCGAGTGTCTCAGTGTCTCTGACATGGCCATTATGAACCCAGACCCAGGGCTCGAACCCAGGTTCATAATGGCCTTGTCAGAGACACTGAGACACTCGCACTAAGAACCTGGGTTCGAGCCATGGGTCTGGGTGTCTGGGTTCATAATGGCCTTGTCAGAGACACTGAGACACTCGCACTAAGAACCTGGGTTCGAGCCCTGGGTCTGGGTGTTTGGGTTCATAATGGCCATGTCAGAGACACTGAGCCACTGACACTAAGAACCTGGGTTGGAGCCCTGGGTCTGGGTGTCTGGGTTCATAATGGCCTTGTCAGAGACACAGCTACTAGCACTAAGAACCTGGGTTCGAGCCCTGGGTCTGGGTTCATAATGGCAGTGTCAGAGACACTGAGACACTCGCACTAAGAACCTGGGTTCGAGCCCTGGTTCTGGATTCATAATGGCAGTGTCAGAGACACTGAGACACTCTCACTAAGAACCTGGGTTGGAGCCCTGGGTTTGGGTGTCAGGGTTCATAATGGCCTTGTCAGAGACACTGAGACACTGACACTAAGAACCTGGGTTCGAACCCTGGGTCTGGGTGTCTGGGTTCATAATGGTCTTGTCAGAGACACTGAGACACTGACACTAAGAACCTGGGTTCGAACCCTGGGTCTGGGTGTCTGGGTTCATAATGGCCTTGTCAAAGACACTGAGACACTCGCACTAAGAACCTGGGTTCGAGCCCTGGGTCTGGGTGTTTGGGTTCATAATGGCCATGTCAGAGACACTGAGACACTGACACTAAGAACCTGGGTTCGAGCCCTGGGTCTGGGTTCATAATGGCCTTGTCAGAGACACTGAGACACTGACACTAAGAACCTGGGTTGGAGCCCTGGGTCTGGGTGTCTGGGTTCATAATGGCATTGTCAGAGACACAGCTACTAGCACTAAGAACCTGGGTTCGAGCCCTGGGTCTGGGTTCATAATGGCCTTGTCAGAGACACTGAGACACTGACACTAAGAACCTGGGTTCGAGCCCTGGGTCTGGGTTCATAATGGCCTTGTCAGAGACACTGAGACACTCGCACTAAGAACCTCGGTTCGAGCCCTGGGTCTGGGTGTCTGGGTTCATAATGGCAGTGTCAGAGACACTGAGACACTCGCACTAAGAACCTGGGTTCGAGCCCTGGGTCTGGGCGTCTCTCTCACCCCCCACTCTCTCCGTCAGTCACCTCCCTGTCACTCTGTCGCTACTTACAAAACTAACAAAACCAATATTTTATTTTATCTTTACCAGCTGCACGCCCCCCGCCCCTCCCCGCCGCTAAGCTACCGTGTGGCTCTGTTCCAGACGCGACTTGGCCAGCACAATTGGTGGCAGCTCAACAGAGTGGTTCATCATCATTATCGTCACGTGGAAATGTCCAGCGGCAACCCAACACTCTACATTGTGGGAGGGAGGGGGTGGTGGTGGGAACTGGTGGAGGACCCAGAGACAAAGCTACGTGGTGATCACCACGGGGAGAGAGAGACGCAGACTCCACATTTACAGCAGCAGGTTTGAGGATTGGACCCAGGACCTCCTGTGTACCAGGCGAGGTAGTCAACATCTCTCAGGGTCTGGGATCGAACCCACGACCTCCTGTGTACCAGGCGAGGTAGTCAACATCTCTCAGGGTCTGGGATCGAACCCACGACCTCCTGTGTACCAGGCGAGGTAGTCAACATCTCTAAGGGTCTGGGATTGAACCCACGACCTCCTGTGTACCAGGCGAGGTAGCCAACATCTCTCAGTGTCTGAGATTGAACCCACGACCTCCTGTGTACCAGGCGAGGTAGTTAACATCTCTCAGGGTCTGGGATTGAACCCACGACCACCTGCGTACCAGGCGAGGTAGTCAACATCTCTCAGGGTCTGGGATTGAACCCACGACCTCCTGTGTACCAGGCGAGGTAGTTAACATCTCCTAGCCACAATGATGATGATGATGAGAGAGACGCAGACTCCACATTTACAGCAGCCGGGGTCAGGATCGCACCCACGACCTCCTGTGTACCAGGCGAGGTAGTCAACATCTCCTAGCCACCGTGATGATGATGATGAGAGAGAGACGCAGACTCCACATCTACAGCAGCAGGGGTCAGGATCGAACCCACGAGCTCTTATGTACCAGGCGAGGTAGTAAACATCTCTTAGTGTCGGATCGAACCCACGACCTCCTGTGCACTAGGCGAGGTAGTCAACATCTCTCAGTGTCTGGGATCGAACCCACGACCTCCTGTGTACCAGGCGAAGTAGTCAACATCTCTAAGTGTCTGGGATTGGACCCAGGACCTCCTGTGTACCAGGCGAGGTAGTCAACATCTCTCAGGGTCTGGGATCGAACACCACGACCTCCTGTGTACCAGGCGAGGTAGTCAACATCTCTCAGTGTCTGGGATTGAACCCACAACCTCCTGTACACCAGGCGAGGTAGTCAACATCTCTCAGGGTCTGGGATTGAACCCACGACCTCCTGTGTACCAGGCGAGGTAGTTAACATCGCCTAGCCACAATGATGATGATGATGAGAGAGACGCAGACTCCACATTTACAGCAGCAGGGGTCAGGATCGCACCCACGACCTCCTGTGTACCAGGCGAGGTAGTCAACATCTCCTAGCCACCGTGATGATGATGATGAGAGAGAGACGCAGACTCCACATCTACAGCAGCAGGGGTCAGGATCGAACCCACGAGCTCTTATGTACCAGGCGAGGTAGTAAACATCTCTTAGTGTCGGATCGAACCCACGACCTCCTGTGCACTAGGCGAGGTAGTCAACATCTCTCAGTGTCTGGGATCGAACCCACGACCTCCTGTGTACCAGGCGAAGTAGTCAACATCTCTAAGTGTCTGGGATCGAACCCACGACCTCCTGTGTACCAGGCGAGGTAGTCAACATCTCTCAGGGTCTGAGATCGAACCCACGACCTCCTGTGCACCTGGCGAGGTAGTCAACATCTCTCAGTGTCTGGGATCGAACCCATGACCTCCTGTGCACCTGGCGAGGTAGTCAACATATCTCAGTGTCTGCGATCGAACCCACGACCTCCTGCGTACCAGGCGAAGTAGTCAACATCTCTCAGTGTCTGGGATCGAACCCACGTCCTCCTGTGTACCAGGCGAGGTAGTCAACATCTCTCAGTGTCTGGGATCGAACCCACGTCCTCCTGTGTACCAGGCGAGGTAGTCAACATCTCTCAGGGTCTGGGATCGAACCCACGACCTCCTGTGCACCAGGCGAGGTAGTCAACATCTCTCAGTGTCTGGGATCGAACCCACGACCTCCTGCGTACCAGGCGAGGTAGTCAACATCCATCAGTGTCTGGGATCGAACCCACGACCTCCTGTGTACCGGGCGAGGTAGTCAACATCTCTCAGTGTCTGGGATCGAACCCACGACCTCCTGTGTACCAGGCGAGGTAGTCAACACCTCTCAGTGTCTGGGATCGAACCCACGTACTCCTGTGTACCAGGCGAGGTAGTCAACATCTCTCAGTGTCTGGGATCGAACCCACGACCTCCTGTGTACCAGGCGAGGTAGTCAACATATCTCAGTGTCTGGGATCGAACCCACGACCTCCTGTGTACCAGGCGAGGTAGTCAACATCTATCAGTGTCTGGGATCTAACCCACGACCTCCTGTGTACCAGGCGAGGTAGTCAACATCTCTCAGTGTCTGGGATCGAACCCACGACCTCCTGTGTACCAGGCGAGGTAGTCAACATCTAACAGTGTCTGGGATCTAACCCACGAACTCCTGTATACCAGGCGAGGTAGTCAACATCTCTCAGTGTCTGGGATCGAACCCACGACCTCCTGTTGACCAGGCGAGGTAGTCAACATCTCTCAGGGTCTGGGATCGAACCCTCTCTGCACTCTCTCTCCTCTCTCTCTCCCACTCTCCCTCTCTCTCCCTCTCGCTCTCCCACTCTCTCTCCACTCTCTCTCTTCTCTCCCACTATCTCTCCCACTCTCTCTCCCACTCTCTCCTCTCTCCCTCTCTCTCTCCACTCTCTCCCACTCTCTCCTCTCTCCCACTCTCTCTCCCACTCTCTCTCCCACTCTCTCCCCCTCTCTCTCTCCACTCTCTCCCACTCTCTCCTCTCTCCCTCTCTCTCTCCCACACTCTCTCTCCCACTCTCTCCCTCTCTCTCTTCAGCTCTCTCCACGCTCTCTCCCACACTCTCTCTCCCACTCTCTCTCCTCTCTCCCTCTCTCTCTCCCACTCTCTCCTCTCTCCCTCTCTCTCTCCCACACTCTCTCTCCCACTCTCCCCCTCTCTCTCTTCAGCTCTCTCCACTCTCTCTCCCACTCTCTCTCCTCTCTCTCTCCCACACTCTCTCTCCTCTCTCCCTCTCTCTCTCCCACTCTCTCCTCTCTCCACTCTCTCTTCCACACTCTCTCTCCCACTCTCTCCCTCTCTCTCTCCACTCTCTCCACTCTCTCTGATTGGTCAGCGCCCACCGTGTGGATGTCTTCTGCTCGATGACGCTGCGCAACTAACGGCCGCTGCAGCATCAGCAGCATCACCATCATCATCAGCAGCAGCATCAGCAGCATCATCAGCAGCATCATCAGCATCAGCATCAGAAGCATCATCATCAGCAGCAGCATCAGCAGCAGCAGCATCAGCACGGTACAGGCATGACATCACATATCTCTGGACACACGTACCTACACACACAAACCTACACACACACACAACATGTACACACAAGCACACACACACGTACACACACACACAACATGTACACACACAACATGTACACACACACACGTACACACACAACATGTACACACACAACATGTACACACACAACGTGTACACACACACACAACATGTACACACACAACATGTACACACACAACATGTACACACACAACATGTACACACACACGTACACACGTACACACACACAACATGTACACACACAACATGTACACACACACGTACACACACGTACACACACGTACACACACACACAACATGTACACACACAACATGTACACACACAACATGTACACACACACGTACACACGTACACACACACACAACATGTACACACACAACATGTACACACACAACATGTACACACACACGTACACACGTACACACACACACAACATGTACACACACAACATGTACACACACACAACATGTACACACACGTACACACACGTACACACACACACAACATGTACACACACAACATGTACACACACACGTACACACACGTACAACATGTACACATACACGTACACACACACGTACGCACACACACACAAACCTACACACACACACGTACACACACAACATGTACACACAAGCACACACACATGTACACACACACATGTACACACACACATGTACACACACAACATGTACACACACACATGTACACACACACACGTACACACATGAACACACACACGTACACACACACACGTACACACACACATACACACATGTACACACACACGTACACACACACCTACACACACGTACACACACGTACACACACATGTACACACACATGTACACGCACGTACAACGTACACACACACCTACACACACGTACACACATGTACACACACACACAAGTACACACATGCACACACACACACGTACACACATGTACACACACACACACGTATACACACACGTACACACACACACACGTACACACATGTACACGTACACACACACGTACACACATGTACACACACACACGTACACACACACCTACACACACGTACACACATGTACACACACATGTGCATGCACGTACAACGTACACACACACACGTACACATATTTACGTACACGTACAGCTAAAGATGCCCCGTGTAGCCTCATCAGGCTGTAGGGGCAAGTGCTGTCAGTAGCGAGTAGCAGCGCCTATGAAGGCTACCGGCCCTGTGGCACACGCAGAGGGGGTGGGTGGCCAGCACCACGCCCGGCCGCCTTTGTCTCTCCCCCAGTGGCGATGTTCACTACTTCACACGGCTACCACACCAGCTACTCATTTGAGGCTGAGTCGACCTAGGAGAGGCTCAGGACCGGTTCAGGTAATCGTCACTGGTTCGTAGCGCAGCGTAGCGCTGACCACTGTACCACCGCTCCCTACTGCACCGCTCACCCACCCACCCACTCACCCACCCACCCACTCACTCACCCACCCACCCACTCACACAACCACCCACTCACCCACCCACCCACTCACACAACCACCCACTCACGCACTCACTCACACAAACACTCACCCACTCACTCACCCACTCACTCACCCACTCACTCACTCACCCACTCACTCACCCACTCACCCACCCACCCACTCACCCACCCACTCACCCACCCACCCACTCACACAACCACCCACTCACCCACTCACTCACACAAACACTCACTCACCCACTCACCCACCCACCCACTCACACAACCACTCACTCACCTACACAACAACTCACTCACCCACTCACCCACTCACTCACACAACCACTCACTCACCCACTCACCCACTCACCCACCCACCCACTCACTCACCCACTCACCCACAAAACCACTCACTCACCCACTCACTCACCCACTCACTCACTCTCCCACACACCCACTCACTCACCCACTCACTCTCTCTACCACCTACTCACCCACCCACTCAGTCACCCACTCACCGACCCACTCACCTACTCACTCACTCTCCTACACCCACTCACCCACCCACTCACCCACCCACCCACTCACCCACCCACTGACCAACTCACTCACTCTCCCACACAACCACTCACCCAACCACTCACTCACTCACCCACTCACTCACCCACCCACTCACTCTCTCACACAACCACTCACTCACTCACGCGCTCACCCACTCACTCTCCCACACAATCACTCACTCACGCACTCACCCACTCACTCACCCACTCACTCACCCACTCACTCACCCATCCACCCACTCACTCACCCACTCACCCACCCACTCACTCACCCATCCACCCACTCACTCACCCACTCACCCACCCACTCACTCACCCATCCACCCACTCACTCACCCACTCACCCACCCACTCACCCACTCACCCACCCACTCACTCACCCATCCACCCACTCACTCACCCACTCACCCACCCACTCACTCACCCATCCACCCACTCACTCACCCACTCACCCACACACTCACTCACCCACCCACTCACTCACTCACTCACCCATCCACCCACTCACTCACCCACTCACCCACTCACTCACCCACCCACTCACTCACCCACCCACCCACCCACTCACTCACCCACCCACTCACTCACCCACTCACCCATCCACTCACCCACCCACTCACCCACCCACTCACCCACTCACTCACTCACCCACTCACCCACTCAGCCACCCACTCACTCACCCACTCGCCCACTCACTCACCCACTCACTCACCCACTCACCCACTCACCCACCCACTCACTCACCCACTCACTCACTCACTCACCCATCCACCCACTCACTCACCCACTCACCCACCCACTCACTCACCCATCCACCCACTCACTCACCCACTCACTCACCCACTCACCCACTCACTCACCCACCCACTCACTCACCCACCCACCCAACCACTCACTCACCCACCCACTCACTCACCCACTCACCCATCCACTCACCCACCCACTCACCCACCCACTCACCCACTCACTCACTCACCCACTCACCCACTCAGCCACCCACTCACTCACCCACCCACCCACTCACTCACCCACTCACCCACCCACTCACTCACCCATCCACCCACTCACTCACCCACTCACCCACACACTCACTCACCCACCCACTCACTCACCCATCCACCCACTCACTCACCCACTCACCCACCCACTCACTCACTCACCCATCCACCCACTCACTCACCCACTCACCCACTCACTCACCCACCCACTCACTCACCCACCCACCCAACCACTCACTCACCCACCCACTCACTCACCCACTCACCCATCCACTCACCCATCCACTCACCCACCCACTCACCCACTCACTCACTCACCCACTCACCCACTCAGCCACCCACTCACTCACCCACTCGCCCACTCACTCACCCACTCACTCACCCACTCACCCACTCACCCACCCACTCACTCACCCACTCACTCACTCACCCATCCACCCACTCACTCACCCACTCACCCACCCATCCACCCACCCATCCACCCACTCACTCACCCACTCACTCACCCACTCACCCACTCACTCACCCACCCACTCACTCACCCACCCACCCAACCACTCACTCACCCACCCACTCACTCACCCACTCACCCATCCACTCACCCACCCACTCACCCACCCACTCACCCACTCACTCACTCACCCACTCAGCCACCCACTCACTCACCCACTCACCCACTCACTCACCCACTCACTCACCCACTCACTCACCCACTCACTCACCCACTCACCCACTCACCCACCCACTCACTCACCCACTCACTCACTCACCCATCCACCCACTCACTCACCCACTCACCCGCCCACTCACTCACCCACTCACTCACTCACCCATCCACCCACTCACTCACCCACTCACCCACCCACTCACTCACCCATCCACCCACTCACTCACCCACTCACCCACTCACTCACCCACTCACTCACCCACTCACTCACCCACTCACCCACTCACCCACCCACTCACTCACTCACTCACCCATCCACCCACTCACTCACCCACTCACCCACCCACTCACTCACCCACTCACTCACTCACCCATCCACCCACTCACTCACCCACTCACCCACCCACTCACTCACCCATCCACTCACTCACCCACTCACCCACCCACTCACCCACCCACCCACTCACACAACCACCCACTCACCCACTCACTCACACAAACACTCACTCACCCACTCACCCACCCACCCACTCACACAACCACTCACTCACCCACACACCCACTCACTCACCCACTCACCCACTCACTCACACAACCACTCACTCACCCACTCACCCACTAACCCACCCACCCACTCACTCACCCACTCACCCACAAAACCACTCACTCACCCACTCACTCACCCACTCACTCACTCTCCCACACACCCACTCACTCACCCACTCACTCTCTCTACCACCTACTCACCCACCCACTCAGTCACCCACTCACCGACCCACTCACCTACTCACTCACTCTCCTACACCCACTCACCCACCCACTCACCCACCCACCCACTCACCCACCCACTGACCAACTCACTCACTCTCCCACACAACCACTCACCCAACCACTCACTCACTCACCCACTCACTCACCCACCCACTCACTCTCTCACACAACCACTCACTCACTCACTCACGCGCTCACCCACTCACTCTCCCACACAATCACTCACTCACGCACTCACCCACTCACTCACCCACTCACTCACCCACTCACTCACCCATCCACCCACTCCCTCACCCACTCACCCACCCACTCACTCACCCATCCACCCACTCACTCACCCACTCACCCACCCACTCACTCACCCATCCACCCACTCACTCACCCACTCACCCACCCACTCACCCACTCACCCACCCACTCACCCATCCACCCACTCACTCACCCACTCACCCACCCACTCACTCACCCATCCACCCACTCACTCAC